GGGGGTAGGACTCTAGACTGGTAAGAGATAGGTTTTGAACAGGGAGCAGTGGTGGGGTCCTAGTCTTCTGTTGGGGTTGTACTCTGGCGCCCAGCAAGCCTGGCCATTGGAGGCAGGAGGCCAGGGAGATGGCTGTTTCCACAGTTCAGGCCCGGAGGCCTCCTGAGCCTGACGGGCAGTGTGAGTGAGTGCCTGGCTTAGGGGTAAAGGCTGGAGAAGATACTGACCCACCCACCAAGGAAAGGTTGCTGGTTTGCATTTTGTCACAGGAGACACAACTGTTTCAGCCTGCTTCGGCCTCTGAGCCTTTACCAGACTCACTCACCAACTTCCTGGTAGTTCCCAGCCAGCACTTCCAGCCCCAGGGGAGCCCAGGAATGGTGCCCTGAGAAAGGATCCAAGGCCTTGATGGGTCTCCTGGTGTCACAATTCCTTGTTCGTCCCTGGTCCCTGAGATCACCCATTGGTGGGGACAGGAGCCCACATGCAGTGAGCACCCATGTGTGCCAGGCCCGAGCTGTCTTTGCTCTCTCGGGCCATCACCCCAGTGGCCTGCTGGGAGCAGTGCTGGGCTTCTCACCACATCACAGGTGAAGACTCAGACCCGGGTGAGGGCACATGCACGCCTCATGGCAGGTGAGGCCCCGTGGGGTTGGGGCCCTTTCTGCCTGGTTGCAAAACCCATTTCCTGTGCCCTGGGCTGCCTCCCCATGTGTCCACACGTGTTGCCTCAGAAAAGCTTCAGGAAGAAGACGCACCAAAAGGAGAACCGTATTGAGTATTAGGCCCCTTGCCTGTTTCCCTGTGGATTAGCACCCCCAGGGGAGGTGGCTGGGCCCCCAGGGCCCACCTGCACTTGCAGAGAAGACGTCCTGGAGGAGGCCAGGCCCTGGGTGTTAGATTTACCTGGCTCCTGAGTCCAGCCCCCGGCCTACCAAGCTGGGTGACTGAACAGATCACTGAGCCTCCCGGTAAAACGGGTAGGATGCCACCTAACCTGCCGACCTTGCAGGGTGATGAGGCAGGTAACCGTTGGGGAAGCACTGGAAAAGCTGAGAGGTGTCCTCAGGAGAAGTGCTGGTATTCTAAGTGCCCGGGATATCTTCATGCAGTACTCACTGGGTTCCAGGTGCAGTGCTCAGCCCCAAGGACAGAAAAATGAATCTGCCCCCATCCCTGCCCACGAGAGGACAGATAGGTAAATGTGGTTATGCGATCAGCCCAGCGTGATCAGTTAGCCCTCAACCACACGGCCATTGGTACGCTGGGGCATGTGGTACGAGAAGCACTGGATTTGGAGCTAGGACCTCTAAGGCTGAGACCTGGTTCCCCTACTACCCAGCTGAAGAATGTCAGTCTCCATGTCTGCAAAACAGGGACAGTAATCCCCACGGTCAGAGGTTGTGGTGAGGTAGACTCGAGGTGCTGGTACAGAAGTGCGTGGTGAGCTGACGTATTTGTGGAGAGGGGTGGTGGCGTTAGTGGTTCTTTTGGGAGCGCCAGCCCTCAAGGTTCCAGGAGTTGGCCCTGAAATTCTTTTTGCCTTGAGTTTCCGGAGCTGACAAATGGTTGGGGGGCAGGATGTTCATGGAATTTCCACCTGGGGATTTCACTGGCGTCAGCTCGAGTGAGCTCACAAGGAAGGGAGCGGGGCGGGAGGCCGCTAGGCACTGAGGAGCAGCAGGGGGAGGCAAAGGCTTGTCTCAAGTCGGTGCAGGGCTCTGGTCCCGCCCGAGGCTCAGCTCCCTGCCCACCTTGTTCCTGTGCCAGGGTCTCCCTCTCGAAGCTGTGATGAAGGAGCTGGCAAACCTATGGGCCAGAGATGCTGTGTTGCAGCACCAGAGGCAGGCAGCTGGGGCCAAGGGGGCCGGGCCAGAACTGCTAGCCCCAGAGAGGTCTCAGAGGAGGGAGCGTGGGGCCTTGCTGGCAGACGCCCGCACAGTGACTGGACCGTGCTGGCACAACAGCCACAGACGTGCCGGGTGCCTGGTACTGCGTTGGGTTCTTGAGTACGGAGGAACATAAAGAAAAACCACACCATCACTGCCCTCAGGAAGCTTAGTAAATCATGACCAGCACCGTCCCCCATGCCCTGAGCACTTCGAGGGTGGAGTGAGCTGAATGCTTCACACGCTGACTGTCCCGTACACTTTCACCAACCCTGTGTTGTGATCCCTACCAAGGACACCAAGACCCAACTGGATTGAGACTTTACCGAGGCCAGTAGATACAGAGCTGCATTCAGATCTGAGTCCAGCGGTTGACTCGTAACTGCCAGCTCTTTATTTATCCAGCAGTGCCGCCCGCCAGGCCTGGCTCTGGCCTCAGGTGGGGGAAGGGACGAGCAGGTGAAGAAGGCAGGGTCACTGCTTCAAGCTGCTCACACTTCAGGTCAGGAAACTGGCAGGTAGATAACTAATGACAGAATTTACTCAGTCTGTGTCTGTGGAGGTATGCCCAAAGCGTGATGCGGCAAGCCCGCAGGGAACAAGCAGGGGAGGGAGGGTGGCCCAGGAGCCTGAGTGGACAGAACGGGCTTTGTTCCACTGGTGGGGCCAGGGCGGGCTGGGTGGATGCGGGTGATGCTGGCGGCAGTGTGAGGCGTCGGGACTCGGGTCCTGGGTCCATTCCAGTGCTGTTGCTGCCCCCTCTGCCTCGGTTACTCTCCCGGGGGCCTCCCGGCTCCCCAGCCCTGGAACTCTCTGCACTTGGGGAAGTGTGAGCAGAGGCTGGGATTAGCTCAGCGGCTGCACCATCACTGTAGGTCCAAATCAAGACTGGGGGTGTGGGGGCTGGCCTCTGGTGGGGCAGCTCAGTTGGCTAGAGTGTCTTCCTGAGGTTGAGGGTTCAATCCCCGGTCAGGGCCCATACAAGAATCAGCCAATGAATGCATAAATAAGTGGAGCAACAAATCCATGCTTTTCTCCCCTTCCTTCTCCCCCTTTCCTCTCTCTGTCTTTCAAACAAATCAATAAATAAGATCAGAAGCTCAGCCAGGGGAGGGAGGAAGGTGGTGCAACTTGCAGATGTCTCCTTGCTGGGGAGAACTTGATTTCTGGGGGTAAAAGTAGGACATCCGAAGGTTTTTGAGAGTTCACCGTTGTTTCAGAGGCTCTCTGGCAAGGCCTGGGGTGCCACCGTGGGGAGACTTGTCTGGGGCCTGTTAGGGCCACAGCATGTACTCATCGGACCTCCTGGCCCACCAGCAAGCCTTCACGGCCCCTGCCCAGAGGACTTTACCCTGTGTCCCCCAGACCGAGGGTGGGTACAGTTTCTGAGCCCATGTCCTTCTGCTCTCGTGTTCTGTAACCTGGCTGATCAGTGAGTGGACCTTTTATCTGCCCACCAGGGTTTGGAAAAGAAGTGAGGTATCTGGAGCCAAAGGTCCCTGTCCTCCCTGCGCCTTCCATGGTGACCAGCTGTCTGCCTTTTCCGTTCCCCAGGGGGCCAATCTTAGCTCCCAGAGGGAGACAGAATTAATACTGTTCACACAGGTGCAAGAACCGAGGCTCAAAAGAAATGAAGAAAACTGCAAAGGTCACATAGAGAGTGGCAAACCTGGTCTCCCAGGGCCAAGGCAGGTATAAGTGATCTCGTTATGAGTTGGGGTCCCGTCCCCAGTGCTGGTCAGTAAGCCCCATGAAGACTTAGTATGCGCGCCCCACCCCAAGATCCACTTCACACAGAACTTAGCGTAGATTCAGTAAATGCTTTTGTTAAATTTTGAATGCCTAAAACACTGGAGCTGGCTTGTCTAGACCTAACCTCTCACTGTGGGCCTGGAGAAACAGGCTCAGGGAGGGAAGGGACATATCCGAAGATGTGAACAGGCCGTGCAGAGCCTGGACTAAAACTGGCTGTCTTCCAGGACCTGCCTCGTCACTGCACAGGTGCCCTGTTGCCGTCCCTTCACCCCCATGCCTGGAGAGGTGAAGGAGCTGGGAGGTGGGAATGGGTTCCCTTTCTGGGGGACTCCTTCTACCATGTTGCCTGGGAGGGACACAGGCACTGACTGCACATCTCTCAGTGTCCTGGCTCCGTGACAGCTAGTCCTCATAGCATCCCCTTGCCGGAAGGGATGGTTGTCTCCCTTTTAGATGAGGGAATGGGCTGAGGGAGAGGAGGATACTTCCCAAAGTTGACCAGTTGAGCAGGTGACTCCTGTTCCCAGTGATGTAACGCCTTCAGATCAGAGGATCCACCCCAGAATGGCAGCTTTCATGTCAAGGGCCAACTCTAATCAGTGGGCAGAGAGCACCTGTGGAGGAGAGCTCAGAGGTCCTGTGCAGATGCCCTAGGAAGTGGTGCTGTGATTGATTGATTATGTCTGCAGTGGGTATAGGTAGAGTGAAAAGGAACGGTTTTTCCCTGATGTGGCTTCCACCTGTTGGGTCTCATTTCTCCACAGGGGTGTTCAGCTCCTCTGTCTGCTCTCCACATCCAGCCTTTCTGAGGCCAGTGGGACCCTCAGGACCATCTCAGAGTCACAGCTGAAGGAACCAGTTCAGAGAATTAAAGTGACTTTCCCAGTGAGCAGTGCACGTTGGTGTCCAAGGCCGTCTCCCCGTGAAGGCCTTTCCGAGGAGCTGAGGCTGACAGTTTTTGTCAAGAGGAACTCACATTACTCATCCCTTCCCAGACCCAGAAGCCCTGTTGAGAAATGTCATAGTGTGGCCTGTCAGGGGAGAACGACTGTCCAGGAGGGCGCTGATAAGGGCTTTGACATCGCGATGACGTGGTTGCTACAGGAAGGGGGTCAGGCCCACCTGCTGATCCCCACCCCATCGGCTGCTGTGCGGGAAGGAAGGCAGGGCAGCCCACTCTGCCCTTCCCCTGTGCTGGGAGCCCCGCTAGGTGCCTTATTTCTACAATTTTGTTTCATCTTCATGATGGTCCCGTGAGGTGGCTGTTAATATCCCATTTCACCGGTGAGGAGACTGAGGCTCGGAGCTTGTGGCTACCCAGCACCAGAGAAAGCAGAGATAGTCGTGAGTGACGCAGTCCTGTTAGGAGCCTTTGTGACTCAGTGTGTTATATGTACATTATATATATCATATATTTTTTTCTTTTACTATAAGAGAGGACATGGAGTAGGGGTGTGTGTGTGAAGATATTAAGACATGTTTAAATCACTGAGAGTTCTACCATCTAAAGAAAAACACTGTTGGTATATTTTCTTTTGGCCTTTCTAAAATTAGGATTTGGGTTGGGTTGTTTTTTTTTTAATGCATAGTTACAGTTTTCCTAGACGTGCAATTTATCTTATGATATCTATCATTATGGCATCGGCCCCTTGCATGAGGTGGCAGACTCTTCGGAGCATTGTTTTTATGGACTCCCTGGGGTCCCCGGAGAGCCAGCAGCTGACTGGAGTGGGTCGGGCAGCTCCGGGCCTGGAGTCGGGAGGCCGCAGCCCGAGCATCGGCTGCCACGCCTCACGGGGGATTCTAAGGACAAGTCGCTGCACACTCCCTTCATCACTGAAGTGAGGCGTTGCACGCCCACTCTGGGACCTTCCAACATCAAATAAGCAAAGTCCTTGTTAACTGTAAAGGGCTGTGCCCTGGCAGGAATTTTCCTTATCTTCCCTCAGTCTCCTCCTGGGAAAGTTCTGCCCTCCTGTCGGCCCCTGAGCCTTTTCTAAAGGCCTTCTTCCAGCGACAGTGGCTGAGCCCAGCGTCTCTGCGACTCATGAATGTGCCCTGCTGTATGTTCCTCCAAAGGGGACACTTCCTCTGAGCAGAACACAGGCTCTGACTTTCAAAGACCACCAGCCCACACCTCTGCCTTTGCCCACTTCTGGGTCCAAAGTTGTGAGGCCTTTCAGGGATTTTTTCCTTTCTCTTTTCCCAACACCCTGGGATGCCCCTGAGAGTCTTCTGGGCTCTGCCGTGACCTCAGGAAAACCCTAGGGCCATTAAATACTAAATATCTTGGCGCCTGCGCCATCACAGCAGTCAGTGCAGCTAGAGTTTGGCCCTCGGACTCTGGACACCTACCTCTTCTCTTCCCGTAAACACACAGAAGTATACATTCCACTGGAACCAAGTCAATCGTGAGGTTCCAAAGGCAAGAGCTGAGTTCCCAGCTCCACCACCTGCCTTTCCCCCATGCTTAGTTTCCTGCGCTCTAAAATGGACTGAGGATTGCACGTGAGAGAACGTATGTTCAGCGCCAGCACCTGGTGAGGACCGGCTCTGACTCCGTGTTGGCGCTTCCCAGGGGAATGTCCAGGCCTGGCATGGAACAGGAGCCCAGGGAGAGTTGTCCACTGTACAGGGCTGAGTGAGGACTTGTCCAGGACACCTTGGGAGTGCTAGGTCTCGTTTACGCTCCTGCTCCTTCTACGTCAGCTGTCCCTACCATTGCCTCGATTCCATGTCCATAGTGGCCCCACTGGAGGGCATCTAGCCTGTGTGCAGAGCTCTTCACAGTTGGATTGCATTTCAGGAAGCGTCCATCAGCTCATGTGAAGGGGTCAGGACAAGAATTACTGCTTTGTGGCTCAGAGGACAAGGCTGAGGCCCGGAGCAGGGGGGCAAGAGGCCCCCTCTCTGGAGGGATTGTGTTTGAGCTCCCAGTTACATAATCAGGAGCTCAGAGAGGCCATTTGGCATTTAATAGGTACATTGTATAATGTACCCTACTGGGAACCAAAGGGTGATCTCAGGGCCTTTTTTTTTTTTGTACTTGTGTTGTTTGTTTAAACCCCAGGAAGGGTGAGTGAGCAGATCAGCTTAGCAGGGAAGGTGGGGCACTGAGTGGTAATGAATCCGTGTGGTAAGAAGCTCTCACTCAAGGGAATAAAGGGTGCCTGCAGCAAAATAATTATTTTCCTTTTGGTTCCAGACATTGGAATACTCTACCTTGCCACAGTTGGGACCAAGCCCAGGATGCACCTGGGCTGGATTTAATCCTCAAGTTGGATTCTATAGTAGAAAGGCGTGGGGGAGGAGGTACCCCATAGCAGGGCAGGGGAGAAGAGCCCCACTTCTTCCTGCCCCCATGCAGAGCCAGTGTGTGGATCAGGTAGCTGCCCCTTGAAAGTTTCATGGAGGGCTGGTAATACTATCGTGTTGTTCTCTCCACATCCACCCCAGTCTAGAAGGCAGGCAGGTGCCCAGTCCATCCCGCCCTGAAGGCCAGTGGGAGGGTGGGTGGGGGGAAGACAGCGCAGGGGTGCAGAGCGGGGCTATCCCAGATGGAGAGACCTCCCGGGCTGAGTGGCTGGTGTGTGGTGGTGGGAGGGGACAACCAGAGATGGTCCAGTTCGATGCTTTCATCACTCACCCGCTCCTCATCCTCCCATGAGCATCACGGAGATACAGTGGGTGTGAGGACTGAATGTGACAGTGTACGTGTAGTGCCTGACATGTGTGGCAACTATGGTGTGCTTGTACAGGGGTGGAAACGGCCAGGAGAGGCAACATGCCTTATATCACAGCCTGTGTCTGGGAAAAGCCCCTCTTGGATCTTAACTTTCCACCAGCCTCCCTGCCAGTCCTGCCAGAGGCAGCAGATGAAAACAGAGGAATTGGAATTGAGCAGGCCTGGGTTCTAATCCTGCCCTGCTTTTCACTAGCTGGGGTAAACCCTCTTCTTCTCTGAGCCTCTATTCCTTCATCTGTATAATGGGAGGACCAGCCCAGCTGCCCAGGTTAAAGGAAGAACCAGAGAGGGGTAATCACACCTGTACTATCTGGGGTAGAGACAGCGCAAGGGCAAGGAGCTGGGAATGGGTATTCCAGAGCCCATCAGGAAGTCCAGACAGTTGGAATAAAGGGTCCTGCCTCTGGAGGACAGGCTAGGTGAGGGGGCTTCGGACTGTGGACCTGTCCATTGTCACCCACTAAGGAGGTAGGGTAGGGCCAGTCCTCACAGGGAGAGGCCTTGATCTGGGAGGCTGCCATGTGAGTCCCAGGCATGGCTCAGCTACTGCCAAACCATGAGAGCAAGCCACGCTTCCTCTGCTCCATCTGCTTCCCCTCCCAGTTACTTGTGGCCAGGCGTAACTTCCTGAACCTCTCTAAGTCTCAATTCCCTCTTCACGAGGCAGTGACAGACATTTCTACCTGGCAAATTTTTTTAAAGATTTATTTTTAGACAGAGGGAGAGAAACATCAATGTGTGGTTGCTCTCACATGCCCCCAACTGGGGACCCGGCCTGAAACCCAGGCACGTGCCCTGACTGGGAATTAAACCAGCAACCCTTTGGTTCACAGGCCAGCACTCAATACACTCAGCCACACCAGCCAGGGCCTACCTTGCAATTTTTGTGGTTGTGAAGGTGAAGCGAGTCTGTGTAGTGAGGCAGCTAGCACAGCACATGGCACATGCTCAGCACCGTGACCCAGATCCCTAAACTGAGCACCTCCCTAATAGGGCCTGGATCAAGACCAGCCCATGAACCCTAGTTGCCAGAGCCCTAGAGGCCAGCCAAAGGTCCATCTAATCCAATGGGCTCCCAGCAGTGTTCGTTAGCATCCCACGGCAGGGATGGTGAGCAGGCATGAAGGGTTCCAGGCTCCCACCCTCCCTTCAGCCAGAACCCGCCCACTTTCATCTGCTAATCTTATTTAAGTTAGGGTTCTGCTGCTTCCAGTTGAAAATCCCCCCATCTGGCCTTACCCCCTTTACCCAACCAAGGCCTGAGAGTAACAGGGATGAGGAACTATATGAGGAGGAGTACTCAGGAAAGGCGTCGCAGGAGGACAGGGTGCTGGGGGTAACTTTCAGCTGCGCCTGGATGCACTGACTGGTGTCTGTGGGCTGGAATTAGAACCATCTGGGGCGGGCTGCCTGCTGTCAACCCTCACCTATGGCTCTCTTTCTAGCCCCCACCATGCTGTGGCCCCTGCTGCTGTTGCTGGCTGTGCGCTGGGTCCAGACGACCCGACCATGCTTCCCCGGGTGCCAGTGCGAGGTGGAGACCTTCGGCCTCTTTGATAGCTTCAGCCTGACGCGAGTGGATTGCAGTGGCCTGGGCCCCCACATCGTGCCCGTGCCCATCCCTCTGGACACAACCCACCTGGACCTGTCCTCCAACCGACTAGAGACAGTGAACGAGTCGGTGTTGGCAGGGCCAGGCTATACCACGCTGGCCGGCCTGGATCTCAGCCACAACCTGCTCACCAGCATCTCGCCCACTGCCTTCTCCCGCCTTCGCTACCTGGAGTCGCTCGACCTCAGCCATAACGGCCTGGCAGCCCTGCCTTCGGACAGCTTCACCAGCTCACCCCTGAGTGACGTGAACCTCAGCCACAACCGGCTCCGTGAGGTCCCAGTGTCCGCCTTCAGTACCCACAGCCAGGGCAGGGGGCTGCACGTGGACCTGTCCCACAACCTCATCCACCGCCTCCTGCCCCACACCGCTCGGGCCAGCCTGCCCGCACCTACCATTCAGAGCTTGAACCTGGCCTGGAACCAGCTCCGCACCGTGCCTGACCTCCGGGACTTGCCCCTGCGCTACCTGAGCCTGGATGGGAACCCGCTGGCTGCCATTGGCCCAGGGGCCTTCACGGGACTGGCTGACCTGACACACCTGTCGCTGGGGAGCCTGCAGGGTCTCCCCCAACTGGAACCCTACGGTTTCCGTGAGCTGCGCGGCCTGCAGGTCCTGGACCTGTCGGGCAACCCCAAGCTCAAGTGGGCAGGAGCTGAGGTGTTCTCAGGCCTGGGCTCTCTGCAGGAGCTGGACCTGTCGGGCACAGGCCTGGTGCCCCTGCCTGAGACACTGCTCCTCCACCTCCCGGCGCTGCAGAGCGTCAGTGTGGGGCAGGGTATGCAGTGCCGGCGCCTGGTGCGGGAGGGTGCCTACCCCCGGCATCCTGGAGCCGCCCCCAAGGTGGCCCTGCACTGCACGGACAAGGGGGGACAGGCTTCCAGTGGCCCCAGCACCTTGTGACAAATGGTGTGGCCTGGGGCCACATCACAGACTGCAGCCCTGGGCCAACTCGGGTCCTGGGCAATTTGTACGTTAATGTGCCAGTGCCAGTGGGGACTCTGCGGGCCTCTGTGGCAGCATCACTGACAGATGGCTGTGGGCCTGGGACTAACCCCAGGGGCAAAGTCTTGCTCCTTTGTCTATATTGTCCCCAAACCATGAGCAGAGGGTCTTGGATGCCAAACCAGACAGCAGTCCCCTGCTGTCCTTCCCTCCACTCCACCATGAAGTGCCTTCCTTCCCTCAAGCCTGGACCAGCCTGACTGATAAGAGGAGGGTTAGAGGTCAGCTCCCTGGCTCAGTGCCACTTTGGGCCCGTGGTCCAGTCACTCAGGAGCATGGGTTACCTTTGATCTGGGCGCATGAGGCCCACTTTATCCTTTTCTCTTCCCCTAGGACCCTGGGTAGAGCTTCAGTTATAAAAAGGACAGACAAAAATCAAGTCCACCTCTTCATGTGGCAGGTGGGAGCACTGAGGTGGAGAGAAGGAAAATTGCTAATCGGAGGGGCCCCAGCGGCAGAGGCACGACTGGACCCGTGTCCTGCCTCCCAGCCAGGGCCCTATGCACTTTGCTGTCTTCTCTTAATCATGTCCTCCTGCCCCCCTTTCTGGACTCCCCTTTTGTACCACAACTCACATACTGTCATATATGCCCTTTTTCTGTCATCTTGGGGACAGGCAAGGGCCACCACGGTAGGACTCTGGGCCCTCTGACCAGCTGTGTTGCATGGGCTGAGTCTCCACCTCTCAGAGCCTCTGGAAGCTTCAGGCATACCATCCAGTCTCACCTGCCAGTTTCCCACCCTGGGGTGGGGTCCCCCAGCACCCAAACTGGAAACATCCCCGTGAATCTTCAGGCATTGCCTCCAGATGCTCCCCTAAGAGGCTGATGTGATCCTGGAGCCCCGCTTGGCCACAAGCAAGGAGGGGCCTCTCGGATTCAGCTCGCGCTGGTCCAGAGCCCAAGCCCATCTCACCCCACTGAGTGCAGTGGAAGGAGGCAGGCAGTTTGCACCAGACTTGTATGTGCCCCACCAGGGTGGCGTGTCAGCTTCCCAGCCCTAGGCGCTTTCCTTAGTGCTCATTTTATACAGTTGTTGCCTTTTTAATGGACTGACACTTTCAACCAGCTCCAGACCCCTACCCCTGCTGGCTGGGGATGGAAAGTGTCATTTGTAAAAGAAAAAAGTTGCATTTGTTCACTTTTGTAATAGGGTGTCCTGGAGATGTGTTGGGGGAGGAGGTGCGGGGCGGAAGCCAGCCATCAGTGGCCATGTGGGCATGCGGGGCTGGTCCCACAGAGATGCCCACAGGACAGTGAGAGCTCTGTCCTCCCACACCAGTCCTTCCCAACACCTTACTCGTCCTTGGTTTAATAAACATTTATAAAGAGTCCCTCTTTCTACCACTTGACCAGTGTCCATTTATATTCCCTGGGCTGGGCCCCGGGGCCACAAGAATAAATCAGGTCCAGCCCTGTCCTGGACAGTGTGTTCTGCCTGAGAAGCCCAATAATCGCCCAGGATGGGGGTGTGGGAATTACTCCAGAGTGGGTCGCACCCTCTCCACCTTCCTTATTTATCTCCCCTCTCGCTGCTGCCCCAGGTCCATGAACTTGCATGCCCCTGCCTGTGCTCAGGCTGTTATTCTGGGACCTTGCCTTTGCCTTCATTCCCACTCAACTGCTTCCCATCCCAACAGACCCGGTTCGTGTCTCAACTGCAGAGGCTTTCCCCGAGGTCCCTCCGCACCTCCCTCTGAGCACCCGCAGTGCTTCGTTGCTTCCTGGCATTTCAACTCCATGGGAGCCTAACTCTACACATCTCATGACCGGGAGCTCATTTCCAACTCAGCGGCTCTACTCAGCAAATTCTACCTGGCCAAGGTCTACAGGAACATCGGTCGCCAGCAACCATAGGCCCACCCCCAGCCCTCCCCCGAGGGGACTCAGGATCCGTGGGGTGGGGGCGGGAGGGACAACAGGACACACCCTGCTGCACGAAGCTGTGAGAGCCCTGTGGGAGGATTAGGAAGCCTTCCTGGAGGAGGCTCGTTCACACAGCCAAGAAGGACGAGTGGGCTTGGGAATGTGAGCAGTGGCACAGAACCCAGAAGGTTTGGGCCACAGGTGTGGGTGGGGAGCTTGCGCGTCTTGTGGCTCAGCACTTTTCCCCACAGACACCGCAGGAGCCTAAGGCTGAGAAAGTCAGAAAGCCCTCAGCCACGGGAAGGGGCGTTAATCAGCTCCACTGTTTCTCTAAGCCCTTCCACTTTCCCTGGGATTAGAGAGATTTCAAATGCAGGGCTAGGGGAGAGATTCCTGGGACACTGACCCAGTGGGTCTGGGCCCTCCCAAAGCTCCGCTGGAAGGAGAGGCCCTTGGGGGAGGGTCATGGAATGCAGGGGTCTTAAAGTGGTGCTGAAGGCAGGGGACCGGAGGGAGGCTGGGACTCCTGCAGAACAGCGAGCTCTGAGGCAGGTCACCTCCACCGAGATACAGCTGTAGTGGGAGGGCGGGCACAGACGCTGTCACACTGTGCCGGCTCCTCCTTCCTATGGGGACATTACTCTGCGTCCCCAGCCCTGGCCTCCCTGTCTTAGGGGGAGCACAAACCCTGGAGCAAGTAAGGCATCCCCAAGGCCCCTCCAGAGGCTCCCAGTCCACAGCGCCACCTTGTGGTCTCTCATGGCCAGACACCCCCCAGTCCCAGAGGTGTGAGAACAAGACCGAAGTGGACCTCCACAGTTTGCGCAGCCAGCCTCCCCTTCCCCGGCAGGACCGCTTCCATCCTGCCGCCCTCCGCCCTCCTGGAATCCTGGGGCCGAGAACAGGGTTGTTAAATTTTTACAGAATTATAGAGATAAGTGCAAAGATTCCGTTTTGGAGTTCACGGAAAAGGGTTAACATCCTGGGTCCATCACAGGTCAGTTGGGTGAATTTGGCCCAGTCACTTCCCCATCTGAGCCTGGAGAATAGGGGTGAAAATGTCTCCCGCCACAGGGTTGTATGAAGAGTAGATGAAGTCACACTTGTAAAGTATGGAGCGCAGTGCCTGGCCCAGAGTAGACGCCCCACAAATGCATGTTCCAGAACCCCCTCAGCCAACCGCAGGATCATGAATTGGACTATAGAAACACGCAGTCTTAGACTCCCATTTTGATAGCTGACTCAGAACTGGACAATTTCATAGAAGTTAAAAATTTAGAATCCTAGAACAACGCTAATTCACAGGATCTTAGCATTAAGTCAAACACAGGGCCCTTCTAAGGCCCCGCTGACCCAGGAGCCAGCCCTGGTGTGCTTACATCATGCCCTCTACAAGGAGGAGACAAATGCCCAGACAGTGCTGGTCGGTACACAGGGAGGGTGGGGAGGCCTGCGGATCCATGTGTAACCGGACCCCTCCGTAGCTCGGGGAGCCCACTAGATTCTTTCGATCCCAGGGTTTTTCCTCTATGGGTGTTAGCACACCAGCCACTGATTTCCCCAAATCACCGTGGCCAGAAGGCTTTCAGAGAGAGGCCAGTGGAGATCTAGGCACTAACACCTACCAACTGCCTCTGAGCCAGTTCGTAGGGTATTTCCTCGGCCAAGACCGCCAGGCACGGGGCGGGAGGTGGGGGATGAAGGTGTACCCTCTGCTTGGACCTAATGTCCACCAAGACAAAACAGAGTCCGTCATAGGCTAAAAGGACTTTGCTCATCAATGCTTAACACACTGTGGTGGCTAATGTGTACTAGGAGCAAATATCATTAATGCCAAATGTGTATCAGTACCTAAAGTCTATCAGTGACAGCTCTCGCGCCAAAGGCAGACTGGACGAAGGGAAAATGTCCGGTGGTATCCACTGCCGCTCAGTATCCACCAATGCCCAGTGTGTGCAGGTGGCTAACTGCGGTGATAGCTTCTCTGTGCATCCATACCTAATGTCAGTCTGTAGCTCAACATCCAGCAACAGCAAATAGCCACCAGTTAAATCATGCGTTTATTTTTTTGTTTTATTTATTGAAGTGCCATTAGTTGTATTTATGGGGATTATTGTGTTTCTTAAGTTCAGCAGAAATTCTTCCTGTGTTTACAGTTGAATTCCAGAAACTATTTATTATCTTTTACATACTCGTTAGTCAAAACATTCTGCACTGGGGATGTCAGCGTGCATTTGTGCTTCTTGATACACACACGTGTGTATGGATAGCGTGCATATATAATTATTATTTACAAATGCAGGAAAACAGAGAAAAAGAAATTGGTTTGAGGACAGAAATGGCAAGTCTGAAACAACTTTCTAAATAGGTGATTCTTAGAAGCAGCAATTTTGCCAAAGCAGAGTGATGATTCCTGGCATCGGCTCTCCTGCCCAGCCAAAGAATTGACAAAGAGCCCTGCTTTGGGCTAAAAAAAGCCAGGTGCCCTAATAAGGTTAAGGCACAACACGGGGGTGCCTTAAGGCAACAAAACCAGTGGTGAAGACGAGCTCCAGAGGCAGGCTGCCTGGGCCCAGAGCCGGCTCCGCTGCTGAGGGGCAGGTGGCCGGGGGTAAGCCACTCCAGCTCTGCTGCAGCCTCAGCTGACACGTCTGCGGGATGGAGACGGCCGCTGCCGCACGGGCTGTGGTGGGGAACATGACGATGCACATAAGGCTCTTAGAACAGTGCCTGGCACGGACTGAGTGCCGCATAATAAAAAATAGGAAAATTTATTTTTTGGAAAATTATTTCTTTTGTCAAACTGACGAGCATGCCGTGGCTGACAATATTCTCAGGCAGGGTTTCTTCAGTGGCCATCAGCTCTCAGTGGTGACTTCACCTGCACTGTTAAGCTTAGGACTTTTGACAGAAAAGAGTTTCTACCCTCCACACCACTGCGGGTCAAAGCTGCCTCACCATTACAGCTTCCTTCTGACCCAACCCTTGGGAGGGCACAGGGCTTAGGAAACATCCTGGTGACTGTCCCCACAGGCCTGGTAGTCACAGATGAGCAGCCCCCCTGCTGTGGTTTGAGAGGCGGGGACAACCTTCCCCTGGCCTCGCTCTCCCTGACAGCCTCACGCTGTCTGAAATTCTACCAGTGCTCTTTGGCTTAAGCTGTGTCTGATGTCCTTGCTGGGTAGGCGGGGGCCCAGGGCATCACGAGTGGAGTGGGGGATGGAGAGAAGTGTCTGCGAGGCAATAGGACATTCATTCACTAACTGGGGAGCAAGGGCCACCTGGCCACTTTATCCAATCATGATATACCCTCGAAATGATGAGAAGGTGCTCTGTTGCTAGTTGTTAAGGCTCTGATGGTAGGTGTGAGACTGGGAGGCCCACAAAAAAGGTGGTTGAAAGATAAGGTCTCTTAGATAAAGCTGCATCTCTCCCTCCCAATGGGATATCCTATTGCACTGGTGACTCTCAGTGACCACACCTCCTCCTATTATCACTGTGTAGAACCTTCCTCTTGAGTCTGGGCTGGGCCCATGATTTGCTTTACTCAACCCAATGGTGGCTCTGAGCCAGTTTCAGACCTGACCTCTTAGTAAGGCCTGGTGGCTTGCACTTTTCCAGTCTTGGGAGCTGCCGTGTAGGAGTCTGGTGAGGCCACATAGAGAACCTGGGTGAGGCCTGTCACAGGCGTGGGCTTGGAGGGCTGCTCACCTAAGGCCACGTGGGGAGAGAAAAGCTCAGCCATTGGCGTCCAACAGATCTCAGACCTCAGGCAGACCCACTGGCTTAACGCACAAAGGACCAAACAAAACCAGCAGAAGAGGCAGCCAGCTGATTCCAGCCCTGATTGCAGAACCATGAGCCAATGAAACCATCACTACACCTTGGGACGTGAGAGACGGAAAATTAAAAAAACTAAGAAGATGCCAAGTGACAAAGCCAGCCAGCCAGAGCCTCCTTGAAGATGGCCACTCTGAGGCAATGGGGCAGAGAGGCACGATTGAAAGGAGACACAGGTACTCAGTGTTGTAAAGATTATGAGGTGCTACCTACCCAAGAGTTTGTCTCTTGTTCTATTTTTGTCTCGCAGCCACAAGCGAGCGGGCTTGGCCCATCTCCCCTCAGCCCCGCTCTCCTCCCAGGCCAGACAAACGACTTGCATGTCCCCAGGCAGACCCGTCTCCAACCTTTCCCTTGTCTCTCCTGAAGCCCCCACTAGGAACTGGAGGAACACAGGACTAAACCCACTGTCCCTCTAAGATGCCTTCTCCTTCCCTCAGGGACTGGCCTCCAGACCCAGGGACAGATACGAGGGGAGCTGAGGGTGGGGTGAGGCCAGTCACTGGGCAGGGCCAGTGAGAGCCACTCAGAGGTGGGGAGACCAGAGGGAAGCAGGTCTGCAGCACAGGGCACTCCCAGCAGCCTCTGGGAAAGGCGTGGCTTTTGGATGCTTCCCGCAGACTGTGGGCAAAGTCATACTT